TCTCAATCTTTCCACAACCATTCACCATTGTCGACTTGTGTCCAAGATCATGGTAGTACCATTGAAATAATTTAGATTCTTTTTCATCGCTGATGGAGGAACCCCATTTATGTGCCATGCTAATGTTCACTCGTCTCCATCTCTTGTTGTTTTGAATATTTTCAAGGTTACATTTCCCTCCGCTTTCGTTTGTAACCAACTTGTCTCCGTTTCCAGTACTTCGAAGAAGAAATCTAAGAATATAAATCATTAATTTGATAGCCAGTCGGTTTTTTTTGTATGAATATTTTTTTGAGGGTTTATTACCTAATGTCTCTTGAGAAGCTTTTGTTGTTTGCTTTTTAGTGGTTAAATTTCTTAATTCTGTCATTCTGAAGTTCATTGCCAAAGATTATCTAATTTTTTTTAAACTACCTTTGTATAGAATTGCCGGTAGTTTTGTCAGATTAAAGAGATGAATTGTGTTACCTCCTTTGATGAGAACTGATATAGAAACAAGTAAAAAACATTAAGTTCGGCCGGGCCAAACTTTTAATACCCTCCACCTTAGGGTAATGGAAACACTAGAACCAATTATGACCCACAAATACCAATTTTTAGACATATTTGTGGGAAAATGTGGCAAAAATCATCAAAATACCGAATATCGGGAGGTACCGCTATATAGGGCTATACAAAATCGTGGACCTATACATATAATGTTTCGGCGCACGAACAAGGACCCATTATGACCTACAAATACCAATTTTCAGACAAATCCGTGAAAAATGTGGTAAAAATCATCAAAATACCGAATATCGGGAGGTACCGTTATATGGAGACTATACCAAAGCATGGACCGATACATACAATGTTTCGGCGCATGAACTAGTACAAATCCGTGAAAAAATGTGGTAAAAAACATCAAAATACCGAGAAGCGGGATGCACCGTTTTATGGGAACTATACCAAAACGTGGACCGATACAATAAAAATTATTTTGCTAAATTTTGACGTTCTACATCATATAATGTGGGCTGTATCGTGATTTCAACAGACAGACAGACGGACATTGTTAAATCGTCTTCAAACGCCGTCAAACGCGATGATTTTTTATTTTTTTTTTTTAATTTTATTAAATGAAAGCAAATAGCATTAAATTTTACAATAAGTTTAGATTTGTTCGAATTGTTCACCTTTAACACGAATTATGGCCTTCAAACGGCCAATGAAACCGTCACACGCTGCCTGAATGTTGCTCTGCGGTATTTTGGCCCATTCCCGGCGAAGCGCTTGCTTGAGGTGATCGACACTTTGGTATTTTTTAGTGCCAACCTTGCTTTTCAAAATACTCCAGATACAGTAGTCCAACGAATTGGTATCCGGAGATTTTGGCCATTGTGCGCTGGAAATGAAGCGAGGAACCTCATTTTGTAACCATTCTTGGGTAGCACATTCTGTGTGGAATGTCCAAGCTCTGCAGCCGAAATGGTTGCGTGTCCAAGGCTTTAATACACAGAATGTGCAGAATATTTTCGCGATAATATTCGGCATTTATTCTGATGCCACGGTCGATAATTACGAGCGGAGAGCGACCATCGGCTGTCATAGCGACCCATACCATCACCATGGCCGGCGCTTGAGTTCTGATGGCCAACCGAAGGTGCACATTTTCAGCTGACCTCTTTGACAAGTAAACACGATCATTTTGTTTGTTAAGAAACTACTGGACAACTAATGTTTTCTCATCGGAGAAAACCAAATTCAGCAGTTCACCACTTTCGGCCAAACGAAGCAACTCTTTAGCTGTGAGTTCTTGCACTTTTTGGAATTTCACGCTTTCTGGAAAATTCTCACCAAAATGCTTTTGTACGCTTGCAAACAATATAATGAACTGTCATGGAATAATTTTAACAGCTGTCGGACGAGTGGCTTAGATATGACAGCAGTCTAAAGTTGGTTGTAGTTTTTTCATCTCAGCCTGTATGTATGAAGTTTCTTTCGAAATTGTTTGTTTTTTATATTGGAAATATCAGAATGAGTAGAGCAATGTTGTCCATTTTCGTATCTGACATATTGCGATGCATCAAGTGTGGACTTTATCGGGTGCTCTTTTGGTCCAATATGAGATTTTTATGTTTTGTCCAGAACTTCGGAAATTTAATAGGGGTGGTGCCAGTGAGAGCAAATAACTTTTTTAAATTCACAATTAGTGCAATGGAATTTCTAAAGTAATATTTGAAAAAACAAACAGAATAATTTCTCATTCTTTGTCTCCGGAGTATAAGTATATCACACGAAGATATTGTTTTTCGGCGTGTTCTTAAGGGTTTTAAAACGAAAACAACAATTTAGGACCTGTTTGTATATGACGATAAGAAAACAATTAAGAAAAAAACTTTAAAAACTCTTTTGGAATTGGGTTTGTCAGTCGTTCTCACTTTCGTATCGTCATACAGAAGCAGGCCCTTATATATGTGACAAGTATGTTTTTCATAGAAGAACAATTGATTTTCTCGCAGAAGAGTTTGTTGTATACAAATAGAATAAAATTTAGTCCTCTATAGGGAAATAGAGGTTTCTCTTGAACTACCACTTACCATGGGTGAGCTATTTGAATAGTAGTTATAGTTCTTTACATTAGAGCTTTTTGGCGTGTTATCTTCCTTTAACTTCCAGTTTTGCCATGTAATTGAAATATTGAACAGTTTGGATAATTATTTTTCACATTTTTAACTAGTTTCAAAAAAGAGGGAAAAATAAAAGAATAACATATTGCAACCAGTTACAATAAAATATTTTCAAAATCAATGATTGGAAGAAACTTAAATTGCGGGGCGCGAATTAATAATATTAACGAGACTTGCCATGGAATTGAAAGATTGAACACTTAGGATCATAGTTTTGAAAGAACATTCAGGCATTTCATTCATCTTTCGTGCTATTTGACTCATTCTAGAAATGAACAAAAAATATCAAACAAATGAAAACAACTTGTTGCCTATAATTTTGAATAATTCTGACGGGAAGCGGGCATAGCCTCAGAACTGTATTTCTGTAGTTTTACGAAGCTGTTAAACCTCCTTATTGTACCAATTATGAATAATAGCCTCAGGGTTGTATTTCAGTAGTTTTTCGAAAGTGTTGTACTTCCTTACAGGGTGAGATGGAAAAACTGCAACCAACTTCAGACTGCTGTCATTTCTAAGCCTCTCGTCCGACAGCTGTTAAAAATATTATTCCAGTGACAGCTCATTATATTGTTTACAAGCGTACAAAAGCATTTTAGTGAGAATTTTCCAGAAAAAAGTTATTCTTTATATTTGGCTGGAAAACCACAAGCGGCTATCGTTAGAGCACTCCAGCATTTAAATGTGAATAAATCTTTTGTGTCTCGTACCATCGCTCGTTTCGGTGATACTGGTAGCATAGCCTGACGTCAAGGAAGTGGACGGAAGAAAACAATAACATCAGCAGAAATGGTTTGAAAAGTAAATGGTTTGAAAAGTGAGCTGAACATATCACAATATTCCATTCGGCAAATATTGAAAAATAAGTTCGGGGTAAAGCCATTAAAATTCCAGAAAGTGCAAGAACTTACACCACCACGCAAGTGGTGATCTGCCGAATTTGGTTTTCTCCTATGAGAAAATATTCGTTGTCCAGCAGTTTGTAAACAAACAAAATGATCGTGTTTACTTGCCAAAGAGGTCAGCTGAAAATGTGCACCTTCGGTTGGCCACCAGAACTCAAGCGCCGGACATGGTGATGGTGTGGGCCGCCATAACAGCCGATGGTTGCTATCCGCTCGTATTAATCGACAATGAAACCAGAAAAAATGTCGAATATTATCGCGAAAATATTCTGGAGGGAGTATTAAGGCCTTGGGCACGCAAACATTTCGGCCGCAGACCTTGGAAATTCCAACAGCACTCAGCACCATCGCACTCAGCACGTGCCACCCAAGAATAATTACAAAATGAGGTTCTCGCTTCATTTCCAGCTCACAATGGCCACTAAAATCTCCGAATGGACTATAGTGTCTGGAGTATTTTGGAAAGCAAGGTTCGGTCACTTCAAGCAAGCCCTTCGCCGGGAATGGGCCAAAATTTATGATTTTTTGGCAACATTCGGGCAGCGTGTGACGGTTTCATTGGCCGTTTGAAGGCCATAATTCGTGCCAAAGGTGACCGAACAAATTGGTCGAACAAATCTAAACTTATTATAAAATTTGATGCTATTTTCGACATTTTTTGCTTTCATTCAATAAAATTAAAAAAGTAAAAATTATGGCGTTTGACTTTGTTGCAGTTTCTTATTTCACCCTGTATAAGGCAAAAATTTCAAAAAAAAACCTTTTTCGTAATATGTCTACTATTGGCTTCCTAGTTCAAATTATGGAGCGAATTCAAAGTAGGCTATCCTAAATTAGTTTTTGTTTTATATTAAAAGCGGAGCGATGAGTTATGCCTGGCAAAATAGCTTATATCTAATTCATTACGATACAAATTCCTTTACATAAAAAAACGAATTGCAGTTAGACAATGCAGCCAAGAATGCAAGAACCTAACCAGTTACAACTGGTCAATCAACCAGCCAAGCGGTTAGAGTGGGCAAGTGAAAAAAATTCAAATATTCCAAAAAATATGTTGGCGTGCCATTTTCCTAAATACCTCTGACTCTGACTTAGCCAACACACTCACACAGACACAAACGGCCAAACACCAACTGGAGTTGGTGACTGACAAGAACCAAACAAGTTAAACGGCATTACAAAACAGGTCAACAAAAATAAATTTAGTACATTCTAATTCTGACACCCAAGAAAAAAAGTGATTTTATTTCTATAAAGAAAACCTTGCAAACTGTGTCAAAATATTTATTTTTTTTTGTAAATTCTTATTTGTGAAAACTAAGGCAAAAGGCAAATATTAAACTCTATGGAACATATCAATCAATATTGGAGGTGATGTGGTGTAACAGAAGAAAATTTACGTTATCAACGTTTTTCATTTTTGTAGATTAGCAGTCAAAAATAGTGGTGAACAAGAGTAAAAAAAACAAAACAAAAACAACAAATATTTAAAAAAGAGAGAAAGAAAAAATAAGTGATAATTACATTCTATCCAGCTGCAGCAAAAACAACAAACAAATAAACAACATTTAAGAAAACAAATCGTAAACTAAGCTAACGATCATCCATCCGTCCGTCCATCCATCCATCCGACCAGCCATCCAACTTTTCTTAGCAACCACGTTGAGTGCTGGCGGAGTTTGGCAAATTCATCTTCATCACCAAAAGCTAAAAAGAGACCTGTTCATATTCTTCCATTACATTCTGTTGCTGTCGCTGCTTCTCTTCTTCTTCTTCGTCTTCTGTTTCACTTGTTGTTGTGTATGCGGATTAAGGTGAATTCCAAGCTAATGTGGACCAACGATGCTGTAGTCTAAGGTATGTACATTTATTGCCAACAACGATAACTTGGCTAAAAAGCAAACATGAAAAATAAATGGCTAAATAAACGTAGGCAGCAAAGATGAGGAACGGGCGTTTTTACTTTTTTGTCTGTTCGTTGTTGTTATTTTTGCTGTGCGAGAAAGTTGCTTAAATACTTTCCTTGTTGTTGCAGCATCAGGTTATTGGGAATGCGAAATTTTGAATGTGATTTTGTTTTTGTTCATTTTCGCTCAACTTCATAAAACTTAGTTTTTGGATATGAAATAAAAAATAAAAAAAAAAAACGCATTTCTGCTCATACATTGCAGCACGCCTTTATGGGTGTTCACATTGTGGAAGGTTCATTGCCAAAATGTAAAACAGGATTTGGGAAAGTTTATTTTGTGTGGCACTGGTATTAGGCAAGGGAAAAATGCAATTTCATCAGTTTCAATCCAAATGATTGTCATTAATCAGGGCTTGAAGCGAGTTTGAGTTTTTTTCTGTTGATTGGGAGTAGCAATAAATAATGTTCATAACATATATCAGTGTATGTTTCAGATTATTATTTGGTTTAATATAATGTAATAAATTAAAAGCTAGCCACAAAATCATAGCTGAAACTTCCAGCCATGCATGTGCACATGTTGGCTAATAAATATTTCACCTGTATTTGGTGTACTATGTTGCGTATGCCCACTGTCGTAAAGTATACGTGTGAAAGGTTTTGTTGAGCCTCCAACTATATATATTTACAATTTTAGATATAAACAAGTAAACAAAGGCTACAGTCGAGCGGGGCCGACCGTTGAATACCCTACAACACTACAATAAACGATACAGTTTATATAGGCGAGATACTCGAAAGAATTCCACAAGATATTGTGACAAATAATAAAAGAAAACCATCAGGTTTCGTTCTTTAATTTTCGAATAATAGCAACTTAAACTAATTTGCTCATTTCCAATTTATTGGTTGGATGTTGCACTTAAATGGTCTTCCTAGATCTCGAACCAATATTTCCCAAAGACCTATAATCTCTCAGAAGTGGCAAAAGATTAACATTTATTATTGGTTTTTGACTGAACACATCTATATGAGATACAGCCATTTGACTATATTCTTCAACGAAATCAGCGTTAACGAAATAGTGAGAAGTGCGTCTTTCCTGTATTTGTGAATTCTCCAAAAAGTCACTGGAATGGACATTTTCGTATTTTGTCTACAAAAGTTGGCAAACTCCTTTACACATTGAATATTTTTGGATGGCCATCCAAAACTGCTTGGCTTTTGCAATGTCCGGTAACCCCCATTCAACTGTGCCTAAGGATCGGGCAATAATTACGACCTGCTGACAATTTTGCAGTTTTTTGGTCCATTTCAACCCCTAAATATATGGCGATCATCTCCAAAAATAGTAGGCTTCTATTCTGACCCTCATCTTATCCCCATGCAAAATTTCGTAAAGATCGGGCCATAAATGCGATCTGTATATGATATCCTGATATCCTAATTACTTAGTTTTGTTAGCTGTAGAAATATTACCAAATGTTTAATTCAAAATGAAAATATACCAAAAATATGACAAAATTGAAAAAATATGAGAAAATTTTACAAAATCAATATTTTCATCTTTAGAGAGATATTTTTATGCGATTTTTTTAGACCTTTTTTCTTTCCTGCCAAGAGGCCATTCTGAATTAATGAGAACTGTCGAAATCAGTTCAGCCGTTCTCGACATAAAATAGATCTTTCAAGCATATCTTCTTTGATAGACATATATATCGCACATATTTTGCTATATATTCGATTTGTTGGATCTCAACATCAATGTAAAGATCAGAAGTAACCTTTTCATGGCTTTGTGATTTCGCCGGGATTTAAAATATTCGCGGTTTAATGAAAAATTTTGAATTTTTTCAACAAAAAAGAAATGGTCTATTTTAGCCGCTAAATATTATCCGATGACCACCCAAATTGGTAGGCTTCTTCCCCGCCCTAAACTCTAGCTACATGCGAAATTCCGCGTCGATTGGTCTATAATTGCGACCTGTATAGCTACTGCAAAATCCGAAATTTTTTCAGTATTTGGTCCATTTCAACCCCTAAACATTTGGCGATCATCTCCAAAAGAAATAGGGTTCTATTCTGACCTTAACCCCACCTACGTTTTAAATTTCGTGAAGATCGGGCCATAATTGCGACCTGTAGAGTGATTACAAATTAACATGGACAGACGGACAGACGGACGGACGGACATACATAGCTAGATCGACTCAGCTCGGCGAGCTAGGAAGATCCATATATACTTTCCTATATGGGAAACCAATATTTCGAGGTGTTACATAATTTTTGGGCCAATCAAACTTATAATACCCCCAACACATAGTGTTGTAGGGTATAAATATAATATAATTATTTCTTCCTTTACCGAGGATGGCGGTACAAGAGTTGGAAACAAAAGAACACTATTTTAAAAATGTTTGTGTTGACAAAAAAAAGACTAATGTCTCTCCTGTAGAATTAAAAAAAAAAAACACACAAAATTATGTTTAAAATGTCAACATTTACACCAAAAATGTATATGTTTTCGTACAAATTCCCATTAAAATCAACAAATGAATATTTTGGAAAAAAGGGAATTATGTTACTATGAATTACGAATAGTGCCTATAGTTCTGAGAGCGAAAAACGTGATTGAAATTGCAATGAGAATATAATATACTGTAGGGGGTTTACCTCCGGTGTTCACCAGTTCACTCGTAGAACTGTGGGGGGTACCTTTATAAAAAGGTAAACTTACTAACTAGAGACGATACTTTTTGTGGACTATTTAAATCAAATCGTTGGGTCAATATTATGATTGAGATGAAATCATTTGTTTGGTGATAATCCCATATATATAATACTTATTTCATAAGTATTGTGCACCAAATGAGTAACATCTGTCCGAATCAAATGACTTTTAGCACATGAGGCAGTGTCCATAACTATGTCTGGCAATTTTGATGAATATCGGGTCCGATTTAGATATAGCTCCCATATGTACATACGTTTCATCCGATTTGGGGTTTTAATTGCCTCACATTCTTAATATGCTCCCCACAGCAATGATAGTTGGAACCATATAGCTCCCACACATATCTTTATACGATTTGAGGTTTATTGTGCACCAAATGGGTAATATCTGCCCAAATTGGATAAATTTTTAAAAATTTGGTAAAACACGGTTCCTATTTATCTATTGCTATGATATATATTTTCAATACAATCCTTCTCGAAGTTATATTATGCTCTCTATAACAATGTTACTAGATACGAGAGGTACAAATGCCTTTGTCAAATTTACTGAAAATCGATTGAGAGTTGAATAAACATCCTATATATTTGTTTCTTCTGATTCCGAATTTTAACTACTCTAAAGCTATACTACGCATTCAAAAGAGGTTGGTAATTGGTACGATCCCAATTACTTTTAATTCCCAATATAAATATTTATTTGTAACGGGTAGCTCTAAATAGTGGTGAAGGGTATCATAAAGTCGCACTCGTTGTATATTCAGCCATATGACTAAAGAGGGGAATATACCATTTGATACGGAAAAAATGTCTGTCTGTGTGTGCAATTACTATCGAAGGTTGATCGACTTCGGAGATGGGCAATATTGGTCCAGTCCTTCGATACCTCGCCCACAAACATTCAAAAATTTGTGAAAAAACACATCTGAAACAAACACTCCTTCTAATGGTTGATGTTTCAAGAGCTGTTTTTTTTTTTTTTTTCAATAAATAATAGAAAAAAGGAAAATTTATGAAATCTTTTATTTTATGCAAATATTAACCGCGACTGAACCTCAAATTGTGTATCCGCTAAGCCCAATTTTGGCATACTATTTTCAGCATTTTAGTCGGTAATTCAAAAATAAATGCTTCAATGTTGTCTTTTAGTGCGTCAATTAAAGCTGGCTCAATGATTTGCAAGCAATGTTCGCTTGTAAGACGATTCATGGTTAAATTATAGATCAAAACAAGTTAAAAAGCAATGAGTTCACCCGGGCCGAAGTTTGAATACCCTGCAACATTTGATGAATTTGCAAATTTCAAAAAAAAAATTACTGATAAAATTATTGAAATCATCGAAATGCCGAATATCCGGAGGTAAAGTTATATGGACAATTTTCTGTCATAGGATGTAGTACCAATTAGGAACTTCAAATTAAAAAATTTGAAACTTTTCCGGTAAAAAGTGTGACATAAATCCTCAAAACATCGAACAATTGGAGCTACAGTTATATGAGGACTATTTCAAAACTTAGACCTACTCTGACAGTTCCATACAAATATGTTTCTTACATAATGAGAACAATGGGAAACCAATTTTGAGAAAATTTGGGTTAAAATTGTGACTAAAGTAGACAAAACAAACCTTAAATCTGTACCTACAGTTGTGTGGGTCTATACCAAAACGTGGATCCATATAGTCCATTTTCAATACCAAATGTCCTGCAGACCAAACACACATTTGAGTAGAACTTTATCAAACTACTTCATTACTTTCGGGGGCTAGAGTGATTTCCACAGACGGACGGACATCGCTAAATCGATGCATACTTTTATGCTGATAATGAATAAAAATACTTTGTGGGGTCTAAAATGTATAATTCGAAGTGTTACAAATTGAATGACAAACTTAAAATACCCTCCATACTACGGTAGAGGGTAAAATGAAGATGTTTGACAGTTAAACAAAACGCGTAAAAAATCACCCTTGAAAACCTTCCCCACAAGACTAATAAATCTCGTAAAATTTCTTCAAAGTTTGCAAATATCAATTTTCGAACCAAATTAGAACCAATGTGAAAATGGATGTATTTCTACCATGGTCCATAGAAATATTTATATCAAATGTAGTTTTGGAGCGATCAAGGATAATATTGGTCCACGACTTTTTGTAATTGTAAAGCAAATAGTACAATTTTCTAATATTTTATGTAGTTGTACCACGATTATACCT